CGCCCTCCTGTTCAATGTCACCCTCTTGGGCAAAGGCGCCCTCCTCACCATTGCCGCCCTCCTTTTGATCGTCAACCTTGCGCCCATCGGCGACTTCCTGTTGATGATCGCCTTCCTACCTATTGACGACCTGCTGTTGATTGCATGGTCATTCTGCCTATTGGCGACCTCTTGTTGATTGCCACATTCCTATCTATTGGCGCCCTCCTGTTCCTCGCCGCCCTCTTACCTGGTGGCACCCACCTGTTGATTGTCGATCGGGCCCCTCCGTCCTATTGGAGCCCTCCTGTTGATCGCCGCCCTTCTACTTATTGGTGAACTCCTGTTAATCGCCGCCCTCCTACCTTTTGGCGCCCTCCTGTTGATCGCCGCCCTTCTACCTATTGGCGACCTTTTGTTGATTGCCATCCTCCTACTCATTGGCGCCCTCTTGCTGATCACCGCCCTCCAGATAATTAACATTCTTCTGTTTTTCGGTGCTCCCCCCACCTACTGGCGCCTTCCAGGTGAATGTTGGCCGGGGCCCTCCTTCCTATTGGCACCCTCCTGTTAATTGCCGCCCTTCTACCCATTGGCGCCCTGCTGCTGCTTGCCACTAGCCTACCTATTGGTGCTCTCCTGTCGAATGTCGATCGGGGCTCTCCTATCTTTTGGCGCCCTCCTGTTTCATGCTGATCGGGGGTCCTCCTATTTGGCGCTCTCCTGATGATCGCCGCCCTCTCAGCCATTGGCGCCTTCCTGTCGATCGCAGCCCTTCTACTCATTGGCGACTGCTGTTGATCGCTGCCCTTCATTTACCTACGTTTCCCAGCGTAGCGGCTCTCTTTCACATATTTGATGCCTTGCCTGTCGAAACTGCCACAGATGAGCGTGCATTCAGCACAATGAATGAAGTAAACCAAAACTCCACGCTCTATGCATGAAACCCGTCTTGGTCTTAACAGATTGATCTTACAATAATGACATTTAGGTACAGTGATCACGATAAAGAAGTCAATGGGCACAGCCGCAACAACAAACGTTTGAAATTTCGGCGATTGAAATTGGTTATGTGTTATGTGCTTAACACTGGATGGATCTGTGAGAAGGCTATAGGGGCTGGTCTGAGGCAATTTAGGTGAGAAGCCCGAAGAGGCTAACCCGCTCTCATGAGGAGCAGTCCCGTTTCGGTTTATGTTTCTGATGCTGTTGCTGCGCTGCTGCTTCTTGTTGTGAGATTGTATTTACGCATCTCGTGCTCCGGTATCAATCCGATACGGTGATCTGGTGTGGATGCCGCCACCAATTAACTTTTTCTACACCGTCACCCATGGGCGGAGCTTCCTGTAGGTACAGTTGGTGTGGCAGTGGCCCCACCAATCTTTATTTTTGCCCCAGCAACTTTGCTAAAAGAGTGAGAAAAGCTTTGAACAGAGAACAAATCAGGTGTGCTTAAAAAGCGGAGAAAGGGTTTGTTTTCGAAAATATCGCGTCCCTTCGGCGCAGCATTTCAAGAACACTTTGTCAATAGGAACTCAGTACTTATGCCAATCACTTGCAACCTTTTTGCCACTGTGAGATTAACCCAATACCTACCAAGTTTTGCAGCATTGCGCGTCGCGGCTTTCCTTACACACGCGAAGAAAAACTGGTGGCGTGGTAAAAAAAAACGCCTCCCCTCCCCCTCCTGAGCGATCGTTACGGATTTTTATCTCGTGACCGTATGGCGCCCTCCTTGGGTGAGGTGGCGCTCTCCTAACCCTTGCCCCCCCCCCCTTCGCAATTTTCTAAATACGCCGCTGTCTATTATGTAAACTTTTAACTAGGATAGCTAACTACCTGCATGGCTGCCCTAGAATTGTCAGCTGGGTTTGACGCCAACCAGTCAGAACTCAGATCCCATTGCAATTAAACTACCCTGAATGAAGTGAACTATTTAAGAGTGTACCTATCATTTATCAATCCGGTGCGTAGTAGCAAAGTCAAACTGCTAGCAACGGGCTGACCGCCCATCTTACGCATGCATATCTACCTCATAAAGTATCAATATCTCAAACACCAGAGCCGTGGCGGAGTGGCGGGTTATCAACGTCTGCGCCTCATAACGTGTAGTCAGTTGACTGCTGATTATTGCTCTTATTTCCCAAAGCGAAAGTTCTTAACCCTTTCCCGTATTGGTGTTTTTATTTCAGCCGCGAACGTATAGGGGGGGGGGGGGGCTTGCCGTTTCGCCCCTGATCGAGCTAGAGCTTCGCGGAAAAAACGACCATGTTGCCCGTGACGAGAACAAGCCGATGCTACCAAATTTTAAGGTCTTAGGTCATCGGTAGACCTTGTCACCTTCCAGGCCAGGTCAATGACCCAAATGTCGGGAAAATCGGGACCTGTTAGAACGTCGTAAAGGGTGGCTGCTATGGAGTTTTCGGGGTACTGATCACGCATATCATGTTAATTATAATCATAGATGATGTCTTCATGCATTTAGGCCAGGTCCGGTCAGGTCAGGTCAGGTCAAACAGTAAGGGTTTTGTCGGGTATTCGTAGTAGGTGGCAACCGCCTCTGACAGCTTCGTAACATGTTACGAAGGCACCAAAACTACTTAGAAGTACATAATTTTGATAGGCTACTTGGCCTTTACGTCCGTTCCAGTCGAGCTGCTTAGTGTGGGTTTTACTGGTCTGTGTAAGGTATCGCGTGTACGAGGTCTGCCCAGTGGGTGTCTAGGTGGGTCTTGAACTGGTTGAGTGTACTGGCGTCGACAACTTCTGGCGGCAGAACTACTTCGTAAATGTTCAAATGGTTGCTAAATTCGAATTTAGCTCCAAAAACTAACCTAGAAACATGTATATATATTGAGACGGGTTACACAGCACATTGGGTGGACGCGTTTCGTCTAAATGACTTTTTCGACACCCTCTCGGAAATTAAAATAATACAAACACAATGTGTTTGTATTGTATTAATTTCCGAGAGAGTGTCGAAAAAGTCATTTAGACGAAACGCGTCCACCCAATGTGCTGTGTAACCCGTCTCAATATATATATTTGTCTATTACTACTCAACTAGAAACATGTAAAACTCGAAAAAGTGAACCGAGGTCATCAAAGGTCATTGACCTGACCTGACCTTCCGGTGACCTTGGCACCCACCCTAATGCATGGGAGCAACATCATATCCCATGTTTGAACGCATGAAACCACGGAAAGACTGCAAACGCGCGGCTAATGCGAGCCGACATACGCCGAATCGCGATTCCGGCCAAACATGCTCGAAAAGTAGGTCAAAGGTCATTAGGGTCAGGGTCATGAAATTTTCAGGGCAGGTGTAAACTTGATTAACGCGAGGGTACTGAAAGTTTCGTCGTGATCGGCCGCTTTTTACGCGAGTTATTCGCGAAAAACCGAGGGGTGGTCTGTTCGACCCCCCCCCCCATACGGGCGAGGGTTAATACACAAACACGACGGCCCTCAAACACTCACCTCTGGCGCCCAAAATATAAGTGCCGCCCTTCCCTTCGCATTTGATGCCGCCCCCAGGGAGTTATTTCCAGCCCATTTTTTAAGGAGTGATTACGCCCCTGGTCGATGTGATGGGGAGGGACAGAGAATGGTTTGCGTGGGCAGAGGTGATTGGGTTGCGTGGGCAGAGGCGGATAGATTGTGCGCTTCTAACCGCACTAAGCGGAAGGAGTTAATCAGTTCAGGCGCTGCGCGTGGTCGCCATAAGATCGTCTCCTCGGTTGTCGTCGACAACGACAAAACGATACAATTTTTCACCCCTGGTACGACCTACGACTGTAACAGGATTTTCTTTGATTGACCGAGGGACATTTTTCAATGCTCAAGCATCAAGGGTTGTTTATAGATAAGTCTCTATCTGTCCCATTCTATTGTGATTGAACCATCGTCCCATATGTCGAAGGTTTGCCATAAAAAGTTATCTGAAGTTCTCGTGATTTTTAGAGCCCTTTATAGTTTCGATGAGGTGCAATGCAAGTGATCTTTTTATTGTATTTGTATTTATCATTCAAAAATTGAAATGCCCTTTAGTAGAGCGATGGGTCTTGTCTTGCATTGTCAAGCTTTAGACAATGTCAGAATGTCGAGTGTCGCCCTTTCACAACTCCTTCAGATATATCTAAAAGGCCAGCCCCGTGGCTGTATTAGATTGAATGCAAGGGTGCGGAAGGGACTAGGGAGGCAAGCAAGAGTACAGTAGGCAGTAGGCACCAGTAGTGGTACCACCAGTCACCACCCAAGATTCGTCACCACCCATCCCCGGCGTTCGGAATGTGTCCAGTGTCGCTTTCATCCTAGGCAAATGAACTCAAGAAAGCATCAAAGGAAAGCCAATAGACTAGAAAACTAATAAGTTTTAGTGGACTCCGACTAAAAGTAGTTTTGCTGGCTTTGACTACTGCAGGGAGGGCCAGATAGAATAAGAAAGCGAAATCTGACACGTTTTCGGAAATTGACTGAGAAATTGACGGAAATTGACGGAAACTTCAAACTGAGAGTCTGAGACCCTCAGTTTGGAGTTTGGGAGGCTGATGCCCCCAGCCCACCCCCCCGGGGGGGGGGGGCAGCTATCTGTAGGGATCGTGCCCCCGCCCCCCAGCCAACCCCCAGCAGCCCGGGATTTCAAATCTTCCGAATTACCTTTGATTCCGGAGGCTTCCCTTTATTTTGTTGATGGATATGGTAGCAGGTGAATGTGGAAGCTTCTCGTCGATAACGTTCATTTCCGGGCTCTCTCTATCGCCTGGATAAAAATAGGCCCCGCCCATCCCAATCAGCTGCTGTATGACGAGTTGATGACGACAACCACTACTTACCAGCAACCAATCTAGGGATAGCGTACGTGACAGTAATGGTGCAGCGGTTGCAAAATATCACATTGTTATTCAAACGGTTTTTGCTTTTAGGGCCTTGTTGTTTACCCCATCTGTGTTTGATTGTATTGAGATGTGATTTTAGTAGATGAGGTGTTGATAAAGGCAGGTATTTTTAAAAATATTTTTTTTGACAACTTTTTGCCCTTGTTCTACGGGCAAAAACCCGGGGAACCCGGGGCCACCTGAAGTCTAAACCTTATTTATATAACATGTCGATGCTGATGCTGTCTTGAAATGTGAAATTTAGACAATGGTAATAGGAATAATGAAAAGCAATTTCACCAACAACTTGTTAATCTCTAGTAAGTGCAATTAAAATAAAAATCACTGTCTGCCACACTGCTTCGATCCTGGTCATGCAACCAACGTTCATGGGTGGTGTTTCATGGCAGAGCACTGCGGTGCGCTGCGTGTGTCAGAGCATTGGGTTTCCATGGCAGTGTCGACAAACTTCACTGTGACGCTAAGCTATGACAGCATCCCAGAACGTTAGCATGCTGCGGTACCAGCACCAGCAGCATGCTAGCAGTATTTGAACTCAAACCTTTGTTTTTGGTACGGTTTTTCAGCAACTCTCACTCTGTTCCAAACGCGATTCATCATAAACTAAGAGATCACATGCAACGTCATTGGAGTGATGCTATGGTATGCCGTAGCTACCAGTGCACACAGTGTCTGGATGGTGAAACAGGGCCATTGTTAATCACATTTGTTTGTTTTGTTTCAGCAGAAACCTGTCTGCACATGGGAGGAGCGCAACAAAAGCCCATCAAGTTCATGCATGGCAGTGGATCTCAACAGGAGAAAACCAGAAAGAACATGGATGCTTGTAGATTGCAGTTGTACACTGCTGTTATCACCTGATGTGCGTGGCTGGCATTGCTCCTGGCAAGAACCACCTGCAAGTGATGAGATGGTGCCTCAGTCGTTGAGTGTGCTGCAGTGTGAGAGGCGCCCTGATCTCTACTTTGTGATGGGTTTCCATTGGAGGTTCAACTGAGAAGTGAGAACTGACTGTGACCATGCTTGAGCATGCCAGTGGAGCTTTACATGCTTATGGCAGCTTTTGAACAGATGCTGACCATGGCATGTCCCATCCAGTTATCACGTGCACAGAATGGTGGGGGGAGGGCAACTCTGGGCTCTTGAGTCACCCCTACTGCACAGGGGGTACAGATGGCCGCTTACTTTGGTGTGTCCTGCACTGCATTATCAAGCCCAGTCTGCTGCCACAGGCAATGGGTCGGGCTGCACTATATTAAAGGCAGACTATCTTGCAAAGGAGGCTGGCATCCTCTCCCATAATGACACACCAATTGGCAATCATCGCTGCGATGATCACGAGGGTGTCCGCTTATCTAACATGGTGAGGTGGAGAGCCAGCTCAAGCTGGCCTGAGGGATGGTTTTACTTCAGCTGAGGCCCCCTTTCCCCGCCTGCCAGGTCCGGTCAAACGACCGCTTCACAGTGAACGACTTGCAGCTGTGGATGCCGTCCCACAGCGCAACGAGCGCGCCGACCAGAGGCGGCGGCCAAGAGGCGGCCGCGCTCTCCCAGTCGACGGTCCCGGTGGACGTCGGCAACGCCCACCGCGCGACCATCAGATCGGCTCGCGACCGCGCCGTCGCCGACTGACCGCATGACTGGTATCTGTTCTTGATGTGGGACCGACTGCCACCGCCGGTCGCGGAAGGGCATCGCTCATCGGCCATCGACGTCCACCAGCTTCGCGTGGGTCACTGTTCGGGCTGCCACCAATATACCGAATCGGATGGAACCCTGTCGGCGAATGCCGGCGGTGCCCCGACATCGACTGCGCGGCGGCCAGTGCATCGCGTGCCGGGAGGAGGCTGGCACCCCCGATCGGTCATTGGTCACAAACCGTGTCCCAGCTCATGACTGCATCCAGCGCAGCTCTGTGAGATGTTCTGCTGCAGTCTGCCGCGTGTGTTGAAAGAAGAATGAACATGAGAAAACCTCAAAACTTTATGCCTATTAGTATTTGACCAGTATTAGAATAAGTTTGGATTTTGAGAATTTGTGTCCCTGTGCTTGTGCCTGTGTGGAAAGGCATGCTTTACGGTGTACCATCTCAATTTGTGCGGCTGCTGACAGGCCACCTGGGTGCCAACGTATGTGCGAATCCGCGAATACGTTGTATTTCGTCAGTCGGTATCGTTCTGAAAATATTGACTGCAATAGGCTATATAGCGTATGACGGTTCAGCCCAGCAGTAATAACTGACCATTGATTGGGCGAATTTTGTGTGGTGGTTCGCTAATACATAACCTAAAGAGTGTTTTGCCGGAATCGTTTAGTAGCAGAACTGACCGGAATATAAGTAGAATGCAACGGTTTGAATCGTTAATTTGTTGAAACGATTGTTCTCTGAGACCACTGTGTAACTTTTGACCTGAGAATCACCAGTTATAACAACGGTGGAAGCAGTAGGCACTATAGAGTGTAGGCAACACTATATAGTTGGCACACTTACGCAAGCACACAACTTACGCAGTGGACATCTGCGTCATGCATTTTAAGGTTTACTGGGAAGAGTGAGAAATTAGTCAGAATATAACTGACTAAGGAAAATAGGCGATATTTCCAATTGAGCTGGGGCGGAGAGGGGGAGGGGACGTATGGTCAGCTATGCCAATAATTCATTCTCGTTATGCAGCTGTGTAAAAGGGCGTCCGTTTTTTTGGGGTGAGACCTTCCCCATTGGCCATTTCCAAGCTAAATCGTGGTGGAGAGTCTGGAGACCTCAGCCTCGGTAGTCGGTACCCTGCGCGCTGCGCCACCTTGCGAAACATAAAGCAGCAGTCCTGACATCTGCAGGCGCTACTTTTCATGAAAACGCGGATGTGTTCGCGCTTATGCGAAGAAAATTCTTCCGAGTATGGTTGATAATGAGATTAATTGTTGTCATTTATTTATTAATTCATTAGCAAAAGTACCCTAATAAATCGGTAAAGTAGCTTAAACTGTATCGTATTTCCTTGAGAAAAAAGGACGAACTCATCCTAAGACATCCAGATTATTGGATGCGTTCGTCAGTTGTAAGTAGTTCAAGTTTTTGGAAAAATTTGCTTGTGGAAAATCATAATATTTCAAAGATATACCTATTTTCGAATGATTTATGCATTTATCTGCATTGAAAACTGATTGTAAAGCAAAAGTGCAAAAGATTATTGTCAATTTATTTTCTCAAATCACGATTTACGAACGCACAAAACTCCAGCTTTTAATTTAGTGCGTGTGCGAATTGCGGTCAAGAAAAAAGAATTTAACTGTCTATATTCCTCTTAAAACAATGAAGGATGAATGAGGAAAACGCTGTTTTGAACAATCGTATATTAATTTTTTCTCAATTAAGCAAAAGTACAAAATTTTCAACTATTATTACATTTGCTCTCACAAAACCCATCACTTTTAAGCATGACGTCATGTCAGCCAAATTTACTAGCGCCATCTCTGGAGAGCATCTTTCGAAACCTCCAGACGATAGAGAGAGCCCATTTCCGGCGTTTCATTTTTTGACTTTCTGAAGGGAGCGAGGATACTGTGATACCGAGAGTTATTTCACTCATTGTTCCTTTTCAAGCCCGATAATATTTTGCTTTCAGACGTTTCCTCCATCTTGGGGGAAACATTTGATCAACGTTTGTCGTTCTGTAAGTTTGATCATTATATCTGTGCGCCGTGTTTGGCTACAATTTTTTAAATATGTATTTTGATTTTATGGAGTTCAAGTAATAGTTATTAATCAAAAGATATATTATATATATACATTTTTAAAATGTCCAGTACTTCTTGGTCTGAGACATGAATGTCTTCTTTTTGGATTGGCCTTGCACCTATATCCTGAGTGCTGTTCACGGACACCTGCGGTAACTGCGGTAGCTGCGGTAGATCGCAGGCTGTAAGTCCCGCCCACTTGTGCGCACGTCATCACGCGTTCGTCTGAGGCGGCCGTGTCAATTTTCCGCCCAAGTTACACGAATGCGCAACTGCCGCGCCACTTTGCATGACAAATGGCTCCTGCGGCCGCTGCGGTCGGATCGTTTCGACCGCAGGAGACGCAGGCGACCGCAGCCGGCCGCAGCCGTATGACGTCACACCACCCGCCCCATCCCCACTTTCTGTGACGTCATTACCCGGCTGACCGCCGAGCCGCAGCTACCGCAGCTACCGCAGGTGCCCGTGAACAGCACTCTGTTTGTTACGATAGTTCAGTGGTTACGATGGTGGAATCTGTGAACAGCGCCAGAGGGTATTTTTAGTTGCATGATTATTGGGATATTCTCCCACTCTCTATGCCTTTAACAGGCTAGTTGTCATGTGATTCTGTCATACAAATTTCAAGATCCTTGTTCCAATCTCCCCAGGTCAGTTGGGAAACTACGAGGAGCCAAACAAAAATTGGATTAGCCAGTCAACGGCTGGAGTGGGTGGGGGGATGACCATATATGGTATAAAATCAGACAACTTCATCTTTTTAATGCACCCTAGCATTCAAATGAAAAATAAGGCATAAGAATGTTTTTTAACAACAGAAAGCATACACTCACTCGGTGCACAATTAACTGGCAGCTTTAAATCCCAGAGTTACAACACAAGGTCAAACAGTGATTGGCAAATATGGGGGATTGAAACAGACGCGTCAAAAATGTAAGCGATACCGTGGTTTAAATTAAAAATGTCGTTATTTCTATTATTTTGTTTATGGTTTTTCTAATTTTGTTTAAGTTATTATTTTAAAATTAAATATCTCTGTTTATTGTAATTAAATTAAATCATTAAACAATTTTCTTTCAAAACACTAATCCATTTATTGAATGGCCAGCTGATTGTGACGCCCAGAACCTGCAGAAAAACCGTTTTCCTATCGCCATTTTCGAGTCAATTTGCTGAATTTAATCAAATCACGCTAACTCCTAGTGGAAAATGGAAGTCTTTTTTCTCCGATAAGTGGACGCGATACCGCAAGTACCGGTTTGTTATACCGTTTTTCACCCTTAGTAGAGGGGGCTGCATTTATGCCCATATATGGTCATAAAAAGTCCATTTATTGACCAATCAATTTTTTATGTTCGCCTCGTAGTTTCCCCAACTGAGGTGCCTTGTCTTCAGATTCCACCATTAAAACTAATGTTGAAACATTACTCATTAGGCAGCATTCCGCTGGGTGATAACCACTTGGCTAGTTTCTATTGTAGCTCTTATTGCATGTGAAAACATCACTGCAGGTCGTTTCCCCCTTTGCATTCTTTTAATTCTGGAGAAATTCACAAAATAAAATCATGAAAAGAAAGAACACATCCTTCTAAGGTAGAAAAGTGAGATCACACATAGATACATATGAGACTTTTTACACAAAACATTTATAAGTTACACCCAACCACTCTTTGAGTCAGGCAAGGTTATTTGGTATACCCGAAGGTTGTTTCTTCATTAGACAAACACTATTCTTTTGAATTGTTTTTCTATTGAAAAACAAACTGAGGGTGTTTCCATTTCGGGATATATAAGCAGATTTAGGTTGTAGGTTAGGTTGTAGTAGGCAAGGCTCTGGTTGTAGGGTAGGTTGTAGATTGGTAGTTTGGTAGGTGTATGTTGGTAGGTTGTAGGTGTAGGCTGTAGGTTAGTAGGCAAGGTTAGATCAGGTTTTTTTTATTTATGTTTGTATTGTACCTGATTTTTTAGCATTAGATGATTGTATGAACAATTGTCTAGGTTGATACATGGATTGTGACAATATGGTGTGGTTTTTATTCAGTTTTGACTGAGCCCAGGGTGCAAAAGAGGGATTTGACCTCACTGCATGATATAATTTCATATGATTTCACTGCATACTATAATCACTCAACCTTAATTCCAAGCATAGTATATTACTGGCCTTTGGCTATTTTTCTAAACCATTTGATAGTCAAAGCAAATTCAACCTTTTTATTAAAAACATAGCAAATCATGATTACTCAATTTAACACCTACTGAAACCTTAAAATAAACAACATTTACCTTTCACTGGTAGTGGTATAAGGGGTCAGGCATCTTCGATGAGTTCGAGAAGGTCCAAACTGCTGTAATCAGGAGCATGATATGTGGGATATAAGTAGCACTAGCAAGCAGCATTGCCCATTGGTCGGTGGAAATTCAATATTGAACTGCCTATTAACTAACACTATCTGACATCAACTGCCCAATCTTGTGCAGCCCAATTAAAGCAGCAGCACTCAGTCTTGCACCAAGATCCTTGGGTAGTCATAAAGCAGGCATTACACTTGTTTTTGCAACCAAGGATGCATATTTGCCATTTTTAATATAGGTATAAAGCTGGGGCAATTATTCTGTAAACTGCAAGCTATTATTGTATAGAAGACTGAGCTGAATGACATCTTTTCAGGAACAGTAGTCATGTCCCACTCCAGGGGACCATCGGACTGCAAGGTGTATGTGGGGGATCTAGGTGAGTGACAGGGGCTGGTCCACCATTATTTGCCAGAGCACCTGAGCAACCAACATGGTTATTGGTCACCCTTGATAGACTGATGAATCATGCAATAGTAATGATTAATTTTGCTTGCATTTAAAGGTAGTGTGCCAGCTTTCCTGGACCGTATGGAGTTAATGGCCCAGATCAGGAGAACCGGATTTTTAGAACTTATCCATACCTTCAAAACTCATGGAAACGTCTTAAATTCTTCAAATTTTGAGTACCCCAGTGCGAAATTAGCCCCGACGGGTTGTCGGTCGTACCCCACCCCACATTTCACACCACTATGAACAATAAATGCACACACTGAAATCGCTATTACCGATATGCTCATCCAATCAAGTTTCGATAAACCCGTTCATCATCATCTCCTGCGGTTTCGAACACGCCTGTTAGGTGGTGCGGTAGACCGCGCCCAAAGCCAGGGCCCCGGTAACGTGAGGTAGCCGAGTCGGGGCAGCGTGCGCTGACCCAAGCCGGGGCCGCGCGTCCTCCCGGTGTCATGTGATAGCCCGGGGCTGCCCAGGGATGCGGTAGACCGCGCCCAAAGCCGCGGCCCCGGCTTGGGTCAGCGCACGCTGCCCCGACTCGGTTACCTCACGTTACCGGGGCGGTGTTTCACGGGACGCTGCTACCACGCTGCTATCAAATTGCGCGAGCTGACGTCACACTTGTGGTAGTGTTGGAGCAATGGGCCTGTTGATGTTTCCATGGAAACCCAATTTGACACGTGTAAAAGCAGCGTGCTGCTATCACCGGTGAAACAGGGCCCGGGGCCCTGGCTTTGGGCGCGGCTTCTGTTCATACTTTGTGGTGCGGTGGTGGTGCGTCGGGCCGCGCGCTCTGACTTCGGCCAAGAAAAATGCGTCAGCTGATCATTGTCATTTCTGCCACTTTTATGTGGTGAGATGGGGTCATAACTTTAGAGACGGCTGTTTCATATCAATTATTTTACATAAAATAATATTTCAAACCGTAGATTAATGTTCGACAGCCAAATTAAAGAAACAATACCAATACAGGCTTACAGTTTAAATTCGACATTGTGTTGTCTACGATTAGACAGCTGATAACTCATTCCCGTACGTCGTAACCCTATAATGACCTTTGCTTATTGTCACATGTGCGCCGCATTCGCGATTGTTGCCGACGCCTGTTTGCAGGTCAGCCCACTACAGTTGTTATACATATCGAAAAACCGATAAACTTTAGCCGAAAAAGCACTATTTTAGGCCCATTTTTGATTTTTTTTTGCGATATTAGGTAAAAACAGAAGCTTCTTATCCTAGGAAAAATAAAATGGGAAATCATTGGAAGGTGGCACACTACCTTTAAGTGAAGCTTAAGTATTTTCACTGTTTTTGTTGTTGATGTTGTTGTTTTTTACTGGCGATCTAATTCACATTTTCGTACATGAGCACAGAAGGTTATGCCAGTTTGAAGGTTCTATGTGTGAAGGATATACTTAATATTCAAGCAAAAGCTTGTGAAAAGACATAAGATTTTATTTTCAAGTAGATTGGCTGTTTCCATGGATCCCCTTAGGGCTTCGATTCAACTAAAATCCATGCACATCATCATAAAGATCTTTTAAATTCTCTCTCCCAATAATAACTTTTTGTTTTTGTTTATTCTTTTTCAGTGACTTGGTACCCTCTGGCAAAACTAATTATTTTCCCATGTCTCACCCCACTCCTTGATTTGTTCATAGGAAGCAATGCATCTCAGACTGAGTTGGAGGACGCATTCTCTTATTATGGGCCGCTGAAGAACGTATGGGTGGCGCGAAACCCGCCGGGCTTCGCCTTTGTGGAGTTTGAAGATCCCAGAGATGCCAGGGACTCTGTCCGGGGTCTAGATGGAAGGTGAGGTCATTTTATAAATGTAAATGGGATGTATTTAATACAAACCATATTTATGTGAATAGTGAATACCAAACATTTTATCACTTTATTGTCGCAGCTGACCACTTAACTTGTGCTAACTGCTCACAGGATGGTCCGTTACTGGGGAAATATCGAAATCCTCGAGGTGTTGTGTCGGCCACCTTTGTTGACCGTGGCCGCTGTGCGCAGGACGGTCTGTAACCGGCGCATTACCGTGGAGATGTCGACCGGACGCACGCGGAACCGCGGCGGCAGCTGGCGGCCCACGGCGGGCACAGGCCGCTACGGGCGCGGCTGGGACCCGGCCGACCGCTGCTATGACTGTGGCGAGAGCGGACACTACTCCTACGACTGCCGCAACAAGCGGCCCATTCGCAGGTCAGTCCTCGGTTCCTTGGTGTGTGACTGCTGCGGGACGCTGCCCCGGGCGCCGCACGCGCCGCAGCTGACCTGACGCTCTGCTCTGGCGCTCCGTAGGGGATGATTGCGTGTCTGTGGCCCAGCTGCGACGGCACATCGTCCCCGCCTGTGCCTTAGCACACCACCCCCGCCCGCGCGCGCGCGCCGCTCCTTCCACCCGACCGGCCGGTAGCCGGTCTGCGCAGACACTGGACAGCCATCAGACCGTCCGTCCGCCCGTCCGTCCGTCTGACTTAGAGCGTCATCGGGCCGCCACAGCACGGCGGTGAGACGGCGGACAGGGGCCCTCCCGTAGTGCGATAAAGGGCTCCGAACGGGAGGGGTTTTTGGTCTCGATGAAGAGTATTTAATGGCAGCGGTACGAGGCCGTAGGCAAAGTTTGCGCATGCACAATGTGAGGTGGTTGGTCTGTCTGCTTTTCAATTTGTTTCAGGCTCATTTAGGATTTTTGTTCGTCGCAAAATTCCTTTAAGGTTTCACTATTGTTTATTTATTTTAATTTATCACAAATTTCCATCGTTAATTGATATTTTCCATTATTTCGGGTGCTTAATCGTTTAGTTTTAGTGTTTTCTTTTTCGATTCTGAACTGCAAGGTACTGGTTGTGCTTACCCATATCTCCAAGAAGACCTTTTCTCCTTCCTTATTCCTTGAAGGTAAGCCGCTGGATGATATTTTTCTTTTATATATTTTAAAGATTATTCCAAACACCCATTCAATGACTATACGCCTCCTGCTAGCGACGGTAGTCCAACTTCCAACTCTATTCGACTTCGAAATGCTTGGCTGTCGTTAATTACTTTTGATTGCCAAAACATCCTTTGCTTCATTTGTGTTTTATTTCAATTGAATTCATCAACAAAACGTGCTACATGCCACAAGGCAATGCTATCCTCACGTTATCATCTTAATCATCATTCTTTTCGAATCTGCTTCTTCAAAGCTTGGCTTTAGCTGTGCGCAGGTGAAAATGGCCCGCGCTTGTCGTTCGTTAGGTGATAAGTTGGTTTCCATGGCGTGAATGTCGATATGCTATCCAGTTTTTTGACACTGTTCGATATCCTTATCTACCAGTGCGTTATGTAGGTCCCTATTCATTTGTACCTTTATTTGTTACGGGAGTCGTTCTTAGCGTAGGCAATATTGTCGTCCTTGCACTCCTATCACATGCCCACTTTATCTAAAATGCACTGAAATGTTTCTGTCTGAACCGTTTTATTTACGCACCCAATTTAGGCATCTAAAGACGCTGGCATGTGCCCAGGAGTGTTTGTCGTGGCCATTGGGATTTCTTACCTTTACAGGACATTCACGGTCTTCTAGTTTGTCCTTGAACTTATTCGATCACTTCAAACGCGACATGTAACACCCACCACGCGCTGCGGCATCGACGGCGGTCGGCCGGCCGCCAATTTGCGAGTCTTCCTCACGTGTGTAGTGCACCTGCGACTACTTCGACCGGTCCCTGTGCGGGCGGCCGCCGCCCTGCGGAGCGTCGACCAGCGGCCGCCCGACAACCCGCCGCCAGCTGCACTCTGCCCGCCCGCCCGGCCGGCCGGCCTGCGTGGACGACTCCCTCGTGAGAGCCCTCCGCCGGGCAGGTATGCCGTGCGCGCGAGTCCCCACACCACACTATGACGCCCTTCGTCCTAAATGTGTCACAAGTGAGCAGTGGTCAACCCGTCATTGGCAAACAATGAAAAAATGAATAAGCTTAGGCTTTTCGGTCCTCAGTATAATTCAAAGCTAACGTGCTTCCAAGAGACGAAATGTAAATGAGGTCGACGTAGGCAAATGGAAGTGAAGATCGTTGCTTAAAATACTGGAAACATATTCTGGTGAGATCATTGCTGAGGACTTGGCCAATGACGGGTTCACTGTGTCTCCTATGAACCTGTACTTACCTTTTGCCTGACACATACCCTGCTTCCTTTGTAATGCTTCAACCATTTAGCATTATCGGCCAAGTGAATCGATGCTTTTGCACCGCAAGTGTTTGGCCGGACGCTTTGTTCAAGCTCACAACATACTGTCATTTGTTCACGAGATACCATCAACACATCGCCGTCATGAACGTACTGTATGGTGCGTATGCAGATTATGGCTTCCTCTACCCGTCGCAATTGTGGCGTGTCAGCTGGCATGAGTGCCAACTAGGCTGACGGTAACATCGACCCTGTGTACTCGGGAACGTATTCGCCCACGCGATGTGTACGTTTTGACTATCTCGTGTGTATCATTCACGTATTTCGTGAGTAGTCGTCTCTTGTATGCAATGAATACGCCGTACCTGCCCCTTTACCGACTTACATAGTATTTACCCTGATGTTACCTGTTGAAGAATCCGTTTGTGCCCCATCCCCTTACTGCGCACAGCACTATAAATACCGTTGCTCTTTGTCTAGAGACGGGCATTCATTTCTCCCAATGTTAGGTCTTTTTCCAGATCCCGCAGCCGTGACCGTCGCTCTCGCTCGCGCACGCCCACCAAGAGGAGCAGGAGGTCTCCGAGCCGCTCCTACTCGCGCAGCCGCTCCCGCGACCGCTCCAGGTGAGGACCTGGCCTCTCTGCGACTGTCAATGGGCGATAAAATGGCCATCGCCATCGCGCGCCCTAATACATTCATCAACTAACTCGTTGTGTGTTTTGCAACTCGGAAAGAATAATTCTTCCTTTGTTCACCAATGTCGGCTTCCATTGATCAGCAACGGCTTTTGCTATGGCTGAATGTTTCGGTGATCCACCGACATTGCGTTCGTAGTCATCATCAGAACTTCGACATTTACTACGCAGTTTCCCCCACGCCTTCCCTACCGGTGATGCTCAACTGATAATCCTTCACGCTATCAATTTGCCGCTTGTCCCGAAAAACCTTCCTGAAAACGTACGTTTTCGTAGCTGACTGGAGCCTTTTTTAACGTCGCATTTCTTTTTTTTCGGTTTGCACGTGTATCCGCGTTTTGGCTCTTCGTTGGGCTAGTTGACTGATATCGCTTGTCGTGTTTTAGGTCTCGCACCCCGAAGCGCGCTGCCTCTCGCTCGCCGAGGAGGAGCTCGCGCTCTCCGCGCCGGAACGGCAGCTCGCGCTCTCCAACTTCGCGGCGTCGCGACTGAGGTAACGCCATCAGGAAGACCGTTTTGAGTGAAGCGACGCCCCGCTTGCCGCATTCCCCGAGATAAACTGGCCCGGCGCTACATCCGATCAGAGGGACATGGCCCAGTCATCCAAGAGCCGGTCATTGGTGTGTGTTCGTAGTTGATGTTCGCCCATGGTTTCGGCGAGTTCTGTGCTTCGTTTCTGTATCCGCCGCGCCGAGCGAGGCTACGGCCGACCGACTACAGCCGACTATCGTGTATCATGTTATTGGGTTCATCTTGAAGGCCATTGTACCTGCACGTTTGTGGCTCTAAATACACGGCTTAGACACTGCGTGTCTGAAAAAAATGGTTGTTTTGGAGGGAATCTTCAGCAAAGTCTGGCAAAGTATTGAAGGTGCGATTTAGTAATGAAGCAGTTCAGAAATGTGTGCGCTGTGCATCGAGGTGTACGAGTATCTGTCCCCAGAAGATCTCGCTTGAACGTCAGTGAAAGATGGATGGTTTGCGAATATTAATCTTTGGCGGAATGTTCTGCTCCCGAAACAAGAATTAAAATCGATAGGAAAACCCCTTAATAGCCCCATGGAGACGACTTCCTGTCTGGGAGGGGGAGGGGCGGGTATGAAATAAACCTGTTCGAGCCACCGAGGTAACCCATTTTGGTGGAGGTACCCTGTGACCTTGGCACTTGTCGAATTTTATCTGTTTTCCTGCATCTTTTCTTAACTGGATGTCAGGCCAACCCCAAACCCAGCGAGTCCCAGCGCACTGCGAACATCCCAGATTCTCAAGACCACCACCAACATCAAGAAAGAATAAGCTTAGGCTTGACAATGCATTTCCATGACACGAAGAGTGCATTACAAGTAGTTAATCGAATTAGAAGGGGACCACGAGAAGGATTGAAATGGGGCCGGACTTAGCAAACACGAGAGTGCGCGGCGCAGAGGGCGAGATTCGCACGATTAAAAGTTCCAACGGACGATTGACTCGCAGGACACGTTCATAACCGAGCGACACAAACACGGGCAAAGACCAGTTACGCGTCGACCCCCGGGCGGGGTTCCCGGCGCACCTTGCGGGCAGCAACTCTCCGCATCCGACCCCGGCCCAGAAGGCGGCCAGGAGCGCCCCCTACCCCGGGCCATGAGCAGCTGCCTCTGCCTTAGTCACAAGCGCGACAAATCACCGAGGAGCGCTACATAGCGCGTACCAAATTGGACATAAACCTATAGTAAACAAACAGGGCCGCAGGGCTACCGAGGCCAGCGCCGCCGCGCCTCCGACTGTAGGCGATCATCAGCCGCACGGCCGGGCGCCACCGCTGCCTCACATCACAGCAGGACAGACGGGGCTAGGAGGTGGGTAGCTGCTAGGTGGCTGGTGCTTCTTCGCTACCTCCGGCACCACCGTCATCCTCCTCGGAGAAGTTCAGCCACGACTGCTCGACGATGGCAGCGACGCGTTTCTCGTACTCGCGTCGGTTCTCCTGGTAAAGCTGCGCGGCCAGCGAGTTGGCCGGAGAGTTGGGGTTCGGCTCGTCCAACAGCGACTGCCGACAGACAGGGAGTCGGTCAATATATCGCTACGACGTAAGGGTTGCGTTACGTATGTGGGATACTAGGAGGCATTTTGAATGCAGTTGTTTGAGGGCGAGATCCCAACTGATTGACCTGTGCACTGGGGAGTGGTGGATGAAGGATTCGGTCGCTACGATTAGGAGCAATAATAAAACCGACGACGCCTGAGGACTGGGAAAGAAAAGGTTCTTTCTTCCTCGATTCATGAACTCGGCAGAACAGTATCACCAAGCTGAACATTGTTGGAAACTTAACTTGCATTTGTGAGGGTTAGTACCCGACCCTAAAATCCTATGGTAAATCTTCAGACCTCCCTACAAATATGCGCCTTTGAATATCAAATTTTGATAGAACTTCCGTCATCAAAGAAGCAGTGTCAATTGCGGGGCGCGAGGCAGGTGAAATTTACTTGGATATAAAAACCGCAAACGTTTTATGAGCTGAGAAAATTTGCTATCTCACGGGCATTCTTCAAACGCATCAAACAAAGGTAGATGTGCTAACAGCTCACCTGGATTGATGTCAAGATAGCCGATACGTCGTAAGTTGGACTCCATCTGTTCTGGAGTATGTCCAAGCAGATGCCGCCATCCGCGTACACGTTCGGATGAAACATCTTGGAGAGGAAGCGCACCAGAGGAGGCTTGTTGGGATATTCCTCGGTGAACTCCATGGTCAGCTTGAACGTTCCGTCTTCGAACGGAGTATCGTGAGGTCTGCAACGATGATCATGTTAGGGCAGACTTAGCACTCCGTGCATGATGGGTGGTGATACCTAACCTTTTTATAACTCATTATATTTACCCATACCTGAAGGTAAAATATTTTGTGGTTGCTGTGAATACAAATTGAGCAGTTCAAAGGGAAATGCGAATGCTTTGAAAAAGCGACAGTAGAATAAAATTGGACCTAAAATTCAATTTCAATGCAAAATTCCCCATGTCTACTAGAACTGGATGCAAAAAGTTAAAAGCATATGGCTGTTCAAATAGGTTCCCAGCTATGGAAGTCAGTGTTGAAACCAGTGTACATTTGTTTCTCTCAAGGTTGCAAGCTTTTACGTAGCAACCATCATGCATATTTAAATGGCACTAGTCCTACATTCAGCTGTTTAGGAGGCGGTTTCCCCAGTCTCTTATAGCCATTCTCGAGCTCCCAATGAACTTTATCCAATCACCACTCCTACCCTAACGTCCCTGGCGGCCGCAGAGGAGCACTAAACCATAATCCCATTTTTCAGGCCCGATTTTGCCAATGTCCGGCTATGATGGAAACGTTTAACTTGGGAATTTGAATACTTCCCATTAATCTTAACTTGAACATGACTAATGTTTCCTTTAATACACAGGGAAGTTAAAAGAAAATCAATACATGGGCACAAAATGACCTCGCAGTCAGCAGGCCCCTTAGCCCCCAACAAACAAACAACAAAACAGTTTCATTATAACCACTGGACTGCACTTAGAATCTAATATATTGGTTCCATAAGGGATCTGAAATACAATAGACTTAACCCGCGCCCTGGTGGAGGGGGGGCTATTTTTTTGCCCCCCCCCTCCACTTTTCGATATATCTCCAGAACCGCTGCGCCGATCGTCACCAAACTTTCAGTACCCTCTCGGACATCAATTTTACACATTGTGACCAAAAATTTTTCAGAAGGCTATGATAGATTGGCCGGAAATTACGTCAGAGTGACGTCATGTTCTGCCGTTTTCGACCCAAAAAAGGGTTTCGCGGGAAGAGCTGTCAGGCCTATAGCTTTGCAAATACAGAAAAACGATAAAAAACATAAAAGCTGTAGAATTGACAGGGCTACAAAACTGCTATCTCGGATTTTTGAAATTTTTGGATTTTGACCCCCCCCCCCAAAAAAAATTGAATATAAAAGCCGAAAAATCCCAAAAGTTTTTGGAATTTCGCAAAAACCGGAACATATGTGATAATCCTTACCGCCTTCTATCCACATACCAACTTTGAGATTGATACCTCTTTTTTTGGCGAAGTTATAGCGAAAAAAACTGTTCAAAATTGATGACGTTAAGTTTTCAAACTCAATCTTTAGCAATTTTAGACCCCGTAGCGCAAAACAAAGACCACCATTAGACTCTCCGTGACGAGCTGCATCGAATCAATACCCATTTTATGCAAAACTATCAACTTTAAAATTTGACCTTTCTTGACCTGACCTTGACCTGACCTTCACCAGAAAGTGACCTAACCCGTACCTGATAGTCTTATAACCAACACCATTGAGTTGGAAATGAAAAATTGGCCATAAAACATGCATCACACAACCTTAGTACCTTAAGTTAGGTTCATGTGACCTGACCTGTGACCTGACCTGGTATTGTCAGTGACCTCTTATAGCAACATATGTACTAGGCAACTGACGCCCTATCGCTGATTCTCGACAAAATGCGTTTTCTTCGGTGTTATAGCGCATTCCCTAGATGACCCGTGACCGGTGAAACATGTCATCTTTGACCTGACCTGTGACGTGATCGGTGACCCTGAGGTCAATGAAATTTTGTTTCCTTCGACAAATTTGACAGGCCTTTCGAACGCCGTTTGAATTTTGTGGATCCGTCAAGTAGTTTCGGAGATACGAGGGGGGCAAAAAATAGCCCCCCCCCCCCACCATGTCGCGTTATAAACAGACCCCACCAGGGCGCGGGTTAAAAAATGGACTGCATAATACAACCAATTTGTGTGCTTACCCAAAAATAACAGCATTCCAGATCATAATGTTGTTGTCTGAAGGTGCAGCACTAACCCCTTGAGGAGGGTCCTCCTGTAACCTGAGAAACATAGGGCAGGTGAGGAAAATATAGCATGTGTGATGTGATGTAAATGAAGCAGAAAATACAACACCTGAAACACAAACAGTACACATCTTCCTCATGACAGGCATTTGAAAGAAACTTATCCTGAGCATATAGTTACTTCAACATAAAACAAGGTGCATTGCAATGTTAACACTTAACAGCAAAAAGTCTTGTATAAAGGAAATGTGTCATTAACATTCACCACTTTGATTTTTATTCAAACAAAGAACTCTAAACTCACTTAAGACCAATTTTGTACCAATTTTGATTGATACTCAGCATCAACAAAAATTGGTACAAAGGAGTATGCATTCTTGGAGAGATACATGACCAGTCTATCTCACCTTTTAAAGTCCCTCATCAGCCGCCTTCTGGAGGGTGTGGTCATTGCTGATGATTATGGTTTGTTAAATTAAGTGTAAACCTGTGAACTATGCAAAAATCAGTCAAAACAGGTTGATATTCCAAGTTCAGTTATTATTCTGGGGTGTATGCCTTTCAAGACCTGACAAATCACTAACTAAACACAAGTTCAGAAACTTGATTGGTACCATTCAAGGATCAAAACCAATGGTGTCTGGACAAGAAGTTTCAATGACACAAGTATTGTCAACTTTCAACCCATGATAATTTGAAGGCCAAAGCATATTAAACACATTAATATTAGACACCATCTGTTCCACTCTGCTGCCTTCAACTGGTCACAACTTCTTGCACAGACTGGGCTATTCCTGTCACACATAGCCAAACAAATATTAATTGCAGGCAAGCCTTTATCTTTGATACTTTTTTTAAAACATCTGCAGAGGGTGAAACACAGGCTATGCCAAGTTAAGTGTGGTTGTGTTTATTTCATTAACCCTGGTTGAAGTCTGCCTTCACACAAATTTGTCCTAAATTTCCTGTTAACTGTCTCATCTATACCTAGTCAGGTATTTTAAGCCTGTCTGCTCTGATCGCTTTTAGAACCTACCCTGTACCCAAATAAGTAAGGCACGAGTCAACCTATTGCAAGGAATAGAGTTAAACGTAAATGCAAGATTAAGGTAAAAAGTTCAGCTTGACAGTATTAAAGGTATATGGCCTTAACATCCGCTTTCCGTTAGAGCATTTTAACTGATTGAGACAGGCTTAAACAATCAGACTATAGTCAGAAAAACACAGTCCAAAGCTCTCTAAGGTGGCCAACAATGACTCAACATTCTTTCCAACTCAGCTTAGGAACAAAAATTGACAAAAACATAAACAACCCTGAATCCAATCAGTTTATTATTTCATTTGCATCAGTGCAGCCAAGGGTTGATGGGATTGGAGAATGTTAATGTTACAGTTACTTAAATAACGTGGCAACCCCAATCCTATAATTATTGATGAAAATTGATAAGTGGTGGCAGTTCCCTGCTTTTGCCATTCCAGTCATGACTTTCAGATTTTGCACTTAACCTGACAATCCAAAAGAAACAAAGTGCGGGCAACTGCTGAACAAAGACCAATATAAGTAGGTTTTCTATTTAAGATATTAAACAACTACAAGTATTTTCTACTTATGATAATCATTAAAGGGATGAAAACACGATATTTTACATGAAAAATAGACATATATAATAAAACATAAGCATTATAATAAGCGTGAGCCAGAAATGGCGCAAAAAAGACGTACCACTGCTCAATACAATTACCTAATGATCCCAATACGTAGCTTACACCTTAAATTATTATGACACAAGGAAAACGACATGATACAGCATTAGTCAGCCATCTTTTAACCGTATTGATTACTAACCTTCCTATTAGCCGTCGGACAACAAATGAGCCCGTCGCCTAAGCAGCAAGATGTTTTTGCTGAAGGCTGCCAAACCCACTATGAAGGAAGGTTCTTCGTTTCCTCTAAGATAAAGGGAAAACTTGTTGATGGTGCCCAATTTTTAATATGTGTATTTGTATCGCTGTTACAGTGCTTACCCCTAAGCTGCCTAGTGCCTATGATGTATTTATCAGTTGCGGTAGGTACTACCTTACCAGTCCAGTCTAATTAGTGCAATTGGGAACACAGATCCAGTGGCGGCTGATTCGATTTTGGCGGGGGGGGGGGCATGATCTGAAACCAAGATGATGTCATAAACGGATGTCCGCTTTGGACGTTTCAGTGACCAGAGATGACCTCAGTGACATAGGGATGGGTCAGAGGTGCAATTTTCCAATTCAGTGTCATTTACCCGTAGCCCGATTGTCGAGTGTCTAGAACGGCGTTCTTCCAAAACAGACGCATTTAAAGTTTCTCCCATTGTCCTATAATCGGGAGGTCGCAAAATTGGCGCATTCTAACCTTTTCTGAGGTGAGGTCACGTGCCCTCCACGTGCCCTGGTGACCTGACTTTGAGAGACATGTGTCTGAAATTTTCCGGATATGTGCGGAAAAGATGTATGAACAGGCGAGTGCCAAAAGCGGCGGCGCTCCACAAGGAAGGACGGGTGCTGGAACACCTCCCCCCTACGGTTTTTCGCGAATATCTCAAAAACGGCGGCGCCCTTATCATACATCTATTCTACTTATGTTGTGAAAATTTCAGACCCAGGTCACTTAAGGTCAGGTCACCAGGTCAGGTCATTAACAAGTTTCAATGTCTGCCAAAGCTACACCGAGTGACCGATCGCTTTGAAACTTTCAGAGATTGATAAGAGCAACATTACGTACAAAATGTGTAGGTATCTTGGAATTTTGATATCGATGACCTAAGGTCAGGTCAATTTTGCGATCTCCCCATTACCTATAAGTCGATGGGATAAAATTGAAAGTCGCCTTTTTAGACGGAAGTTATTATAAACACTCTAAAACACTGAATTATTAGTTTCTTTGGCACACTGAATATGAAAATGGCACCCGTGACCCCTTTTTATACCCCTGAGGTCATCTCAGGTCACCAATGGTATCTGACTGTTTTCGCGAATAACTTGATAGAGGCATGCCAGAGCGATGAAAACACCTCAGTTGTGTTTGGCTCGACGATACGGATCGACAGATATGCAACTTGACCCTTACCGGTCAGGTCATGACCTTGACCTGAGGTCAAATTTTCAAGTTGACCTTTCAACGTCAAGTGGTAATTCATTCGCCGCGTCTTGACGAGAGGAACACGATGCTGGTAAAAGAAATGTCGTGGCTTTTTTTAGTCAAAAGTTATTGTCGAATTTGGGTCAGAACTCAGAAGTAATTGCAGAAAAACCGTTTCCGAAAAAAATCGGCTATTTTGGCAGTTTTTGCCCCCTGCAGGCAAAACCGTTAACGGTAGGTCAAATCCGAGAGAATTACTCAGAAAGAGCGTTAGTAGGGCTATCAAATGAGCTTTCCTGCGGCGAGTTTTATCAGTTTCCGAGCTGGGATCGATTTGTTGAAAATTGTCGACATCTGACCTACAAATCGGCGAATTGCAATGCTCGCGTGTATTATCGAATACTAAAACAAGAGCATGGCATTACAAAAACTGACACAGCTCATGCAGTTTGCTAGCCTCGATGTGGTCATAATACAGTCTCGGAGGTCCTTTGTTGACAATTCATTTCACATAGACCGACTGATATTGGATCAGTGCTTTTACTCAGTATGGAGGAGAGGCACCGTAAAGGTAAAAACTTTGTCAACGACAAAGTTTTTTACGCTGACTGACATACGCTGCATTTCATGAATACACGCTGCATTTCAACACATGACATTGTCACGACAAGCATTGCATTGCATACACCTTAGCATGCTGGGTATGTAGGTATAATAAATGCAGATAGGAAATGTGATGCAAACATAGGATGCATCATATACCTACAAACTATTCGTTGTAATTTGCAGGTAGTTATTCCACAACACTTTATCGAAACTAAAATAGTTCACTAGACACTTCATGACTGGACAATGGACATTGACAAAAATTATCTACGGGATAACCGAAATTAATCACCATGTCCCTCCTCCTTGGCAGCAAGTTAAAAACGTCACTTCATGTCGTAGGACTGACGTTTGCAACGCGATGCAAACCTTGAATACCTATTACACCTGTGAGCAAAATGTTCATAAACATAGCATGGCTGTACGGTAAAATTTCCTCAGAATACATGACTGATAACATTATGAAGGGACTGATGTCGCGCTTTGGGGAGTGCGAGGTACCAACTACCTGAGCTCTACAAGTACAAAATTCTAGGAATGATTTCGCGCATTTTCGTTTGTATGCCATCTGGTAAGAAAACCCACGGTAGAGTTATTGCCTCAAAGGCTCCCATCATGTGATCCGTTGCAGTGGAAGCACATTACCTGTGCAATGTGCAAGTCATGAAAGCTACTTCAACTTTTGCCAGCAGACTACAAATGCATGCAAACCACCACTCAATGACGAATACCGTTAGAAACGCAAACAATCGCGTTTATACCATGCTAGGAATGCCTGCGAAGAGAATCATCCTGCTTTCTCGCATGATTGAGTTCTAAACGCGAGCATCAGCTTCCTACATCTTCAGTCCGCCGAAGCAGATGTACTTGGTTTCCATGAAGCATTCGAGGCCTTCCTGAGCGCCTTCCTTGCCGATGCCGGAGTGCTTGAAGCCGCCGAAGGGCGCCTCGCAGGTGGAAGTCAGTGACTCGTTGACACCGACCAGGCCGTACTCTAGGGCCATGGAGACCCTCCAGGACTGCTGGTAGTCGTTCGTGTAGAGGTAACCTGCATAGCAGAGGATGACAAAAACGTATGGTAACAGTAGGCTAACGTCCATTTAGATTATGTTCCTTTTAGTCAGCATGAGCGGACTGGGCTAAGCAATTTCACGGCACATTGCTATAAACTTCGTGCTTATATCAGACGGTCCGTACTCCGAACTAGTACCCATTTGAAGCTAGACTATGGTGCGTCAAGTCGAACCAATAACCACTTCGATGAAACTGAACAATGTTGGGAGATTCACTTTCCTGTGTGTCTAGCTCAGTATATCCTATGGAACGATTATCGCATAAAATCTCTCGTGTATCGTGACTCAGACCATTTGGCAACCTTGGCACTCTCCCTGCCCCGTCCAGCGTACCTGCCAGTCCCTTGTTGGTGTCGTTGGCTATTTGCACCGCCTCTTCCTCCGTGGTGAACTTGTAGATGGCCACCACCGGTCCGAAGATCTCCTCCGTGTACAGCTTCATCTGCTTGGTGGCGCCCGTCAACAGGGTGGGCTCGTAGAAGAGTCCCCCTTCTGGTGGCTGCTTGCCGCCCATCACCACATGAGCTCCGTGAGAGACCGCGTCTTCCACCAAGGATTTGACCTGGGGAGCAGCAGAGTCAGTATAATGTTACCTGACAGATCAGCAGGATCAGTACAGCGTGACCTACGGAATGTCAGGGAATGACGTATAACGGCCCATCCGTGATCCGGCAGGCTCTATACTTATCTGAATTCCCATCATCTTTACATGTAATTTGCAGCCTAGGAGAGGATGGCAGGTATAGCACAACATAAACAACGGAATAGCGCCAAAATGAGACGTCTTCCCCAGATGCCAGCACCACCATTAGCTCACAATTGAAAATGGATTGCGTTTTTGGGTATTGGTAGTACATACCTTCTCCAGCTGTTTCCGGTTGATCAGGGGTCCCTGATTGTTGCCGGCTATCGAACCATCCCCAAACTTTAGAGTGGTCTTCATTGCCTCAGCAAGCGCCTCCACAAACCTGATAACATTTAGTGATTTGAAATGCGATATAAGAGACTCGTCAAGTCGATGTCAACAGCAAATCGTCGGACAAATATATGGATGACCAAGATACAATAGATTTTTTAAAAATAGCCTTTCCAGAGTCATTAGTGATTTCACTCAAGTCGCAAGTCCTCAACATTCCTTATCCTCGCAATCCTCCATAGATATCTTTTTCCCTCGGTGTTCACCTGTCGTAAATGCCGGCCTGAACGAGCAGCCGGTTGGTGGACACACACGTCTGTCCAGTGTTCCTGAACTTGGCCGCCATGGCACCGGTCACTGCCGTCTGCAGTTCGGCCGAGTCGAACACCACGAACGGCGCGTTACCGCCCAGCTCCAGATGGATCCGCTTCACGGTGTCGGCGCAGTCGCGGTACAGCAGCCGGCCCACCTCCGTGGAGCCGGTGAAGCTGAGCAGACGCACCAGAGGCTCGGTACACAGCAGCCGGCCCAGCTGGGCCACGCGGGACCGCGAGCACGGCACCACGTTCACCAGACCGTGCGGCACGCCGACCCGCTCGCAGACGGCGGCGAAGGCGAGTGCTGTGAGCGGTGTGTCCTCAGCCGGCTTGATGACCACCGTACAGCCAGCAGCGAGCGCGGCCGCTGCCTTGCGGGCCAACATGCCGATCGGGAAGTTCCACTGCCAGGAGAAAAGGGTTACATGTAATGACACTGCGTTAGCTGACATGAAAAAGAGTTGGAGACGTTTAGAGGAAACTTAACGTGCTAGTTCCACCGGTTTTCTAATCTAATAACTCTATGTCCATTTCGTACGTTAACTTGATAGACTTGTTAACCATGTTCTGGAAAAGAATGCATCAAAGAACTTCTTGAAATTTCCCCTTAAACCTTTCTTCCATGACAGTAACCCCGTCCCGAAGACCTCCACGGCCATGCGTACCATGCGTAAGTGTTTTCTGAGTGAAGTCAGTAGACTCACCGGGGTGATGATGGCGGCCACGCCGCAGGGCTGTTTGACGCACACCAGCTGCCGGTCGCCGTTCACGGTCGGAATCACCTGGCCGTACGCCCTCCGACCCTCCTGGCCAAACCAGTCGAAGAAGCTGGCCGCAAAACCCACCTCGCCCTCTGCCTCGCCGATGGGTTTACCCTGTGCGCCCAAGCAAAGGTGATCGTTGGTCGGATGATTTAGGAAATGCGCGCCCATTTCAGACATGACATTTAAATGACATTGAGTCGATTGGAAACTTCTGTGAATGCTAGAAATGCGTGGGTAGGTGAAGTTGATCTCCATTTTGTGCTTTAGCAACAGTTCTGCAATGCCGCGCTTGCAATGTTTGGTTCTAAAGTAACGCAATTTCTGATCAAATGGACGGAAGTAGTTATAGATGACGAGCGGGTTTCTTCAATCATACATACATTTTCCTGACAGAGGATTTGACCAATTTCCTTTTTGTTTTCGAGAAGTCCATCGCGGATCTTGTTCAAGATGACCATCCGTTCCTGTGCAGGAGAGACGAATAGAGTCAGAACAGTGCATCGAGTGCCATGACAGGAATTGCATGATTTGGGTTATGAAGCCATGACCAGCAATGGCAACAAATGGAGAATGACAGCATGACGATGAAACATGTGCACTATGAATGCGATACATTTGCAGATGCATCATGAATGGCACAGTGGAGCACACACCGTTGCGGCGCTGGGACCCCTGTGACCACATACAGTCCAGCTCAGTGACCTGGCGGCCATTTCGCGAGCGACTGGCCGTGCCGAAGCGGCAGTGGCACCTTAGCCGTCGTCTTCTTGAACGAGGCGAAGGCGTTGGCGGCCGCCTCGCAGGCGTCGCGGACGTCCTCGGCCGTCGCGTCGCTGCAGGCCTGCAGCACCTGGCCGGTAGCCGGGTTCAGCACGTCGAACGTGGCCTGGTCCGACGACTGCCGCCAGTGGCCGTCGATGTACAGTTGGGTCCGCAGCAGAGCCATCTGACGGCAGAAAAAGGAAATGTGTATCATAAAAGGAAAAGGCGATGTGAATTGAATGATGTCAAATGATTGTTATAATCATCATCGACTTTATGAGGCGAGGTCCCGTGCCGATAGACCTGCATCAACCAAGTCACCAAGGAGCCCGCGGGAAAAGCTATGACACGGGGAATTTGGCGGGCTCCTCACCGTGGTGCTATTTAGAATTTTGATTAACATTTCAATATTTCAACTGGCACAACAACACATAGTTACACATCGGTAATGATCATCCCACGTGTTCTGGGATAGTCATGGTCAACGATATTAGACACAGGAGTGGCGAAACTCCATTATGGATGAAGTCCCTTGGTGTAACTGTTATTGCGGGCTGGTAGCCTCCTGTTTCTTGGAACGGACTCGCCAACAGTGCACCAACTGGTGACCGCCTCATTCAATGTCCTGCCCTCATATCACCTTACAATAGTAGCCGAGCCGAACACCGACCCAAAGATTGGCCCCACATACCAATATAATGAGATGAGCATTGAGCCCAAAATCCGGGAGGACCGAGCTGTTTATATCTAATTCAGTACGTTAAATTTTGGTTCGTAGTATTACCGGTAAGTCTGTCGCAAGAAAAGCATCGCCGGGGGGGGGGGGATGAAGAGGAGCCCGTGGCCAAACAAAAACGATTCGCTGTTAACGACTGTGAGAGCCCGCAGAGCCACGCACTCAGCTATTCGGGCAAAGTTTATGAAAACATGTTCATCCACCCAGTTTTTCTCCATCATATATACCAGAGGACATGAATATACAAAGCGATGCTATGAACTATTTGACATTTACAAACACCAATGGCCTTGCAGCTACCAAGCTCTCTAAGCCGAAATATGCACCGCAGCCACTCCTCAGCCCGAGGGTGTGGCGACTGGCGGGTGTTTATTATGCTACGCTATGTAAGTAAATAAATGGCCATTCGGCGCGCGGGCCGCGCAGCAACACCTGCCTGCTTTATACCGCCTTATTGAAGAATATTGCCTAGTCTTCTCCTAACAACGGTTCTTATAAAATCGATCCGGCGTAAATATTAATGAAGTTGAGATCATGACTGTGACTTTTACGAGTAAAAGAAACCCCAGAATGTCGCTTAAAGATTAGAAAATGTCGACCACCAAGTGGTAAAGCGAGTGTTTTAACTAATGCGCCAAACTCTTAGCAGTTCAACGTTTTGACAGCATACCTAACAGAATAAGATTAGGATGGTCGTTAACAATAAAATTAGGATGATCTCAGGATGACGTATGTTCCTCTGATGGGTCAGTGCGAAAGGCTTCTCCGAGCGGCAACTTTGGGACTTGGGAGGTAGTGGGGTCATAGGAAGGCAACATGTATCTCTCTCTAAGAGGCCATCTCAGGTGAGCGTGGCTCTGTGATGATAATGTAGGGCCCTAAAAGGCTGGTGGGTTGCACCTCAGAAACTGGTGGGAGCCCTCAAAGTCCGGCTTGGGGCCCTCGGAGGTCGACTTATGTCCCAAGAGCGTGAGACTTCAGGACCACCTCATAGCGTCGTGTTCGCATAAGTCAGCAGTTACCCTCAGAGACCCTTTATATCGGCATGGACATATCAGAGGCTGCCGAAGCTCTTCAAATGCCGATAAGGATTCTGTTTTTAGAAATTTATGGACCTATGAGGTCATCGTGAGGGTCCTCAGAGGTCCTTATGAGGGCCCTCAGAAGCTGACGTGGGGGCCATGGGGCTCTAAGGGACAAGTTTGGGTCCCAGGAGCCTGTGTGACCCTCGGAGTCCGTTGTGAGATCCCTCCCCCCATAGCAAGCATGAGCACCAAACTCGTGCGGGCCCTAAAAACTAGTGTAGGGGCCTCAGAGACCGGCGTGGGGCGCACCTGGCCGTATTGGGTTTTCGCTAGTCCCACGTCAGTCTTTGCTTCCTGGTCACTAGTTTTCCAGTAAATTGTATCGAAGAGTTCGACGGGCTTCTTGAAGGACAGCTTACGGATTTTAGGGGTGCAGAATATACGTGTACTCGTATGTCTACGAGTACACGCCCATGTTGTTGGATGGGCAGCTGCTCGCCTTGCGCCCATCTTCCACCGCTCCCTAAAGAATAACCGTCATAAGTGGCTGGATGGGCTGTCCCATTGTGCTGGGATATTCCCGTCACAACAGGGCAGGGTTATGACATTGGGGCAGGCCCAGTGATCGCGTAGGCACATGATGTCTCCTCTGTCCGTCCGTCCCCAATACCTATATCCAGACCGGAAGGACCTTACGAGCCATGATCAGCAAATCAACCGACAATAGAGGCCAGCGAAATAATGACAAGCCTGCAACAGCAGCACACGAATTGACATTCAACGAAGGGCGAAAGCATCTAAAATATAAAAACGAAATCAGCCACCGTTTCACCCACGGTGTTTCACCAACGTACCATTTGAATCGTCGAGCTAATACGACCAAAAATATTTACCAGTATAGCGCCTTTTGGGGCGAATAACGGAGCGAGCGAGAGGGTGGGCCTTGCACGTGTGAAATTGCGAAGGGGTACCTCCAACTGACTTGTGCACGGCACCCTTCTAACCGGTCTCTAGCGATGTGCCAAATTTGAGCACAATCGGCTCAGCCGTTCTCGAGATCTGGAAGCGGCACCCTGCACGTGCGCACGTGCAAAATGGGTCCCAACTGACTTGTGCACGGCACCCTACTAACTGCTCCGTAACCGTGTACCAAATTTGAGCGCAATCGGTCGAGCCGTTCTCGAGATCTGGAATCGACCCCTGCACGTGCGCACGTGCAGCAGCACCCCAACTCTGGCACATGGATATGCATTGCCTAGTGGGTGCCTACCTACATGCCAACTTTCAGCGCAATCGGCCCAGTAGTTACCGAGATATTGCAACAATTACAAAAGTGACACCTCTTCGTTTTGCACGTGGCACGTGCATAAGGGGTCACCCACATGCATCGGGAATAGTCCAATACTTGGTAGAAGGAATTAAGCTACCCTACAAAAATTACCGCATGTAAATCGGTCAAGTGGTTGCTGAGATATAAGCGTCGCAGCATTGTGACCACGCCGGCCGCTCATACTCAGAAATTTCCGTTATTCTACGTAAGACTCCGCTCGCTTCGCTCGCTCCGTAACAATGGACACACCAGCCGCACCATGTAGTCCATAGCTATATACCGGATACTTGGTCCTGACATTCCACTGAAACCAACCTTTAGTTTGTCGTAAGTCTCGTTTACCGTCAACGAAAGTCCACCAGATGTCAGAGACCGGTCGCTGCGTCCGCCACTGCACGCTGAAAAGGGCGGAGTGAGTTTCGGGTGCCGGGCCCGGCCGGCTGGTCCGTGGAGCCGGTTCTGCGCAGCTGCACGGACCACGCTGACGCTGACCTTGAGGCTGGGGACGGGCTGGCGGTGGGGCAGGGGCGCAGCGACGACACTGGCCTCGGCGGCTGAACCGTGACCAGCAAAAACGACGCTACAGACAGGGTCACTGGCCGATGGGTCGGCTAGGGGGCGTGCTATTTTAGAGTTTTAAAACAATGTAATAAAAAGCATATGGTTTTGGGCCATGATTAGGTATGTTCGCAATTGCAATGTACCTATTATGTAATTGTATATTGATATGGTTGCAATGAAATTGTACTCGCGAATTGATTCGGCCCATTTTAAAGTGTTTTGACTGTCAAAACCAAAAACAAACTATCTCCACTGCATCTGAAATGAATCACTATTTTTATAATCATGATATCGTTCGCAACGTGACGAGTAAAGAGCTCGCCTGTCGGCTGAATTCGCTTCCAGTCGAGTGATATGCAGGTGCTGTGTGTGACTGTTCAATGTTTATCTGCCTTTTAGCGTTCTTGTATATTTTAGCATATGCCGAAGTATGCCTTTAGCATTAGCGCGAGCGTGCGGTAAAAGGTTTTTGGATTAAACCGCATAATGTTGAAGGCAATTGGACAAAGGTTTCGGCCCATGGGCAAAACATTTTATCAGCGAACTTTTGAAGCATTTCCTGAGACGGAGGAAGGCGCTGGAAAAGAGCTTAACTGATAGAAATCTAACGTGAACTTACGTGTTGCATTTGGTCGCTTTGAACTATTGAACAGATTGTAAATGTTGGTTTTCAATAAGATAATATTTTAAATCCTAATGTAGGTACAGACATATTAATTAATCACCTACATTTATGGCGTCAATTTCATGCCTTTTACAACTGCAATGAATTGACAAAAAACGCATTTTACATTGATCAGTAAAAACTTTATTCATACTGGCATGGGTAAAAAACCAAGCGCTCACTTCACAGGATGGTATACCTTCCACTCTTCTCTAATATTGAAAACGAACGTTACTCTGGCTTCTCATATGACATAGATTGAAGCAAGGCCCTAAATACAAGGTTGCACGGACTTATTTCTACTAAACCTACCAGAATATAGTTTCACGGTTGATTATTTAAATAATTATTCAATCAAAATTTCTTAATTATTATCTCGTAATCATTTATAAGCAATTTTATAAATCAACTTTCAATTTGCTTGCCTTTTACTAGCAAAATAACTTTTCTAGTATTGGGTCAACATAGTGGTGTAGCAGTAGGAACCACATCTGGCAAAACCCCAATGCCTACATACAGCAGAAAAGCAGCCACCAGGTGTCGCCACAGTCGCCACTTGGTCGCCACACAGATGTCGCGCGCGTCGCCAATCGCCACACTACCGATTTCCATAAGGACGCATATGTACGGATATGTATAGGAAAGTCGCCCTTAAGGATTACGCTTACATCCTTTGCTTATGAGGTCGGTGGTTGGAAATTGGGAGGGGCTCAGCTATTTTCGACCACGGATATGCCTTTATCACATGATGAGGAACATGCTGATAAGCGTTTTATGCGTCATAACAGCACACAAGTATTTTTAATCATTTTTCAAAAATAGCGGTTCTGCCGTATCTTTCAGTGCAAGGTGCCGTCGGTCATCCCCGACGTGACGTCACGCAGGGAATTTGCCAGATTTTCCTACTAGACTTCGACACCCCCTGGATTGAAGTAGATGACACATTGACACAAGGATGGAACACAGTGATCTTGAGTCGGCTTGGTTTATTTTCTTGGTCAGGGAATATGTACATTTTTAGTTCTTGATATTCGGTCTTGGTTTTTCCACTTCCTTCAAGCATGTAAAGTTGTTAAAGAAGCTTAAATATGGAAATTAAACGGCATATGCTAAAATAAATATCACACTTGGGCCGGAATGTTTCATTCAGGACCTCGGGCTTTGTTGAATTTTCCGCCCTCGACCTTCGGTCTCGTGCGGAAAACTCAACAAATCCCTCGGTCCTGAATGAAACATTTTACCGGCCCCGTGTGATATTATATATAACTAGGCCGCAGGCCCCTGATGGCCCTAACGGTTCTATTACCAATTAACTGCATTGGTGAAATATATTATGGATGTTGGCTGAATGTCGTGTTTTGTGCAAGAAATGCACTTCATTTATAACTTGTCAGTTCGAGCATGTCAGCAAGCTACTCGCATAGACATCAAGTTGCAGTGTTCAATATTCATGCCGGCGGCGCGCGTCTCACGTCTGCCGCTCTCGAGTCTCGTGTGAGTTTAGTTCGGCCATCAATGCCGCGGCGGTGCGATAGTTGCGACCTGCAGGCGCGATAAGCACGACGGTCAAATAGGCTGTCTGTTGCCATGGAGCCAGTAGCCACCGAGACGAAGGTCAGGCCGACGCCCTGCCCCTCCCGAGTCCAGACACTGCAGTGAGCGGGTCAACAGGCCGCAGGCGACCATCGCGGCTTGCGGTCGTCTTAGATGATTAATAACTGAACACGGTTCTACTGTAAGTATATCAAGCCAAGTTATATTCCTTTATGATAAACTTATCCGCATATTATCTTGCCCTACTTACATATAGGGTTATGGTATCTAGTATATGGTGATGACTAGACATCACCATACGCCAGATACCAGTCGGCGTTAGACCATGATGGATTGGTGTCTTCGCAGTTTTTGGCGACATTGAGCTCAGGCCTGCCATCTAGCGGGAGAATTATCGTAAGTTAGGAGCAAGCCGAGTGAACGCCGCTGATTAGCATTGTGACACATGGGACTGTGATGTAGTAGCGGGCTTGTTGTGCAATTTTTCAAAAGGTTATGTCTTTATATGTCAGTAAAAGCAAAGAAATTGATATATTTATGTGCAGGGTCAGTAATAAGATAAGCAGTTCCATGTTATTTCCTCATTAAATCGTGAAACAGGGAGTTATTGGAGACTTCGCCAGCACGTGTCGTTTTCGCTATTTTTCACATGAGTCTTTACCTACTTGGCCTAAATCAAACAAATCGTCCGATCAAAGAACAAAACGAACGTTTAGTATTATCTATAAGTCTAATGAAAAAGTTGAACGGAATTGCTAACGTCATTGCCGCTCAATATGTCATTCAAGACGCTCTATGAAAAAGATCCAACCAGTGCTGCGTACCTACCTATAGTCGATGAAATTTCAGTGACTTTGGCTCCAACTCCGATTCCGGTATCCAAATAGGTATCGACTCCGACTCCTCCGGGCAGAACTGTCGATTCACACAGACTCCGACTCTGACTCCGACTCTGCAGCCCTCATGGTAAGTCTGTGGAGTCGATGACTTTTCGGTGACGTTCGACTCATACTCCGACTACAGCTTTAAAAATCAACCGACTCCGAGTCGGAACTGAACCGCTGGCTCTGACTACAACTCCGCAGCCGTGCCCCAAAATAGCCGCCTAAAACAATTTTGATGCGTGATCTTCTTCGTACATTGTTAATGTTATTTTAAACAAGGGGTGGAAAAGGGAGACGAAGCCTTCACAAACAAGGATCTCCTGTTGCGGATCAATCAGCTGCTGGAACAGAAAGGCATGAACACCACGCGTCTCATTTCATCGGTTTCCTAACGACTCTGCACCAATGTAAGCACTGATCAATGCAGTGCGAGCATCGATGTGACATTTGTGTACCAAGTTTGAGTGTTATCCGCCCAGCCGTTCTTGAGACATGAAAGCGGCACCCCGCACGTGCGCACGTACAGTAGCACCCTCATAGTGACACATGGCAATGCATTGGCCACTGGGTGCCTAACTATATATTGACGAAGTTTAACTGTAATGGGCCCAGCCATTGCGGAGTTACTTTATGTGGAACAATTTCGACACCCCTAAGTTGGCACGTGGCACGTGCCGTAACATTAACTAAGATGAAGAAAATCGGGCGAAATTCGGAGAAGAAGGAATAAGCCTACCGAATATGTATGACATATTGTCAAACTGCTGTACCCTTGTGAGTAAATGACCACATAAAAGGTCGTACAATCCGATCGGACTGGGCGTTTCAATACACACCGTCTTACGCATTTTATTTTCGTTATTACCTAAAGGCTGCTTGACGTTTTTGGCTTTTAAGCATTTAAGACATTTTTTATCGTCTCAAGTCCAGTAAGATTATCTCCAACTCGTGGGAATATGCCCTTCAAGCCAACAAACACACCACACCCACGTGTGTCATAATGCTGAGAGATGGCGTTCACTCGGCTTGCTCCTAACTTACGATAATTCTCTCGCTAGATGGCAGGCCTGATCCCAATGTCGCGGATCCCAATGTTAATTTCCACGAGACACCAATCCAGTGTTATATCATCCATTAGCATATGCCGAAGTATGCCTTTAGCATTAGCGCGAGCGTGCGGTAAAAGCTTTTTGGATTAAACCGCATAATGTTGAAGGCAATTGGTCAAAGATTTCGGCCCATGGGCAAAACATTTTATCAGCGAACTTTTGAAGCATTTCCTGAGACGGAGGAAGGCGCTGGAAAAGAGCTTAACTGATAGAAATCTAACGTGAACTTACGTGTTTACGTGCATTTGGAACTTACGTGCATTTGGTCGCTTTGAACTATTGAACAGATTGTAAATGTTGGTTTTCAATAACATTATATTTTAAATCCTAATGTACAGACATATTAGTTAATCATCTACATTTATGGCGTCAATTTCATGCCTTTTACAACTGCAATGAATTGACAAAAAAACGCATTTCACATTGATCAATAAAAACTTTATTCATACTGACATCGGTAAAAAACCAAGCGCTCACTTCACAGGATGGTATAACTTCCACTCTTCTCTAACATTGAAAACGAACGTTACTCTAGCTTCTCATATGACATATGAAATAGATGTTCTTGGTTTGATATGAATCCAACTCAGAGCCAGACACAATGATGGAACATAGTGATCTTGAGTTGAGTCGGCTTGGTTTATTATCTTAAGGTCAGGGAATATGTACATTTTTTAGTTCTTGATATTCGTTCTTGGTT